GCTCTTCTGGGTTTTCTAAGTTCCGGCCTATCATGGAGTTAGGGCCCATAAAGCCAAGATTGTTGACCCAGCAGCTTAGCCTGCAGATGAGGCCCATATGGAAAAATGCAGGCATCGGGAGCTTGACTGCTATGGATCTTTGAGCCTCATTTCTATGCCTATTGGTCCAACATCCTCATACCCACCAATCAATACCCTTCTCTGGTCCAAGAGCATCTAGATGAACCAGGGCACCTCACTCTCTGTACTCTTCCAGGTGGATATTTCTGGTTGCCTCCTTTTTCTCCATACCCCTTAATGGGTCCCTGCCCCATATCCCACACCCAGTATCTTCCCTGGGCCCAGGGCAGTGAGCACGGCAGATATAGTGCCTGGTCACAGGGCTGGACATGGGTTACTTACCCTGGCTCAGTGGAATAATGGGTCACGGAGTTCTTGGACCCTTGGCTGCTTCTGTGAGCTTAGGGCAGGAGCCTTTCCTCAAAGGTGCAACAGGCGCGACTGCACTGACCAGATGCCTAAGTCCCGGGCTCTGAGGTGCTTGGACCTCCCAGTGGCAACTCCTTCACCTGGAACCTCTTCCTCCAGCAGGACAAAAAGCTGCCAGTCACTGCTCCCTCCATCGCCGTGAAGAGACCAGCTTTTAACAGGTAGGTGCTGGAGCTGTTGCTGCCCTCTCTCATTCTCTGTCAGGAGTATGAAGGTGTGTGTGCACTTGCTCTAAAATACAGAAATATAGATCGGTCATTAAGAAATTAAGCGTCAGTCAGATCCTGACTCAAATCCCAGAGAACCCCTCCTCTTACAAGCTGTTTGACTTCACTACAGTTTACTAAAATGTATGCACCTTTGTGTGAGTACATAAAATGGGGTTCAATCATCGTTCCTACCTCGCAGGATTGCTGACAGGTGTAAATATAAGAGTACACACGTTGCCGAAACCGGTTTGGCTCAGTGGATAGAGCGTTGGCCTGCGGACTGAGGGGTCCCAGGTTCGATTCCGGTCAAGGGCATGTACCTGGGTTGCGGGCACATCCCCAGTGGGGGATGTGCAGGAGGCGACTGATCGATGGTTCTCTTTCATCGATGTTTCTGACTCTTTATCTCTCTCCCTTCCTCTCTGTGAAAAATCAATAAAATATATTTTTAAAAAAATAAAAAATAAATAAAAAGACTTAAAAAAAAAAAAGAGTACACACGTAAAGTGCCTAGAGCGGTCTCAGGCACGTTAATGCTAGCTATTACTATTGGTCCCTCAGTGAGTCCGCCCCCACTATCACTCTGCTTACCAGGTTCTCCTGTACTGAACTGGTTCTCATGCTCGTGTCCCTGTCCCAGATACTCTCCCTATTAGCCACGGGGAAGTCCTTTCTGTGCCTAACCCCCATTTCTCGTCTTTGACCTTCATTTGCAGAAAGATGGAGCTCAGGTCCTAAGCTTTCTGACTCCCCCTCAGTGTTTCCTTTCTCTCTCCATGTCCCAGCTCTCCTTCCCAGAAGTCCTGCATATGAGCTCACTCATTAACACACAACACATATTAATTTAGTATCTACTACATGCCAGAAACTATGTTGGGAGCTGCAGAATGAGCAAACACATACATAGCACTACTACATATCAAGCACTATTTTAAGCAGTTTATCTATATTATTTTCATCAAATTCTCACAAATACTCAGTAAGGTAGGTGTACATTATTATTCATATTTTACTAATGAGGACATTGAGTCAGAGAGAAGTTTAGTAACTTGTTCAAAGTCGTGCAGTTAGGAAGTGGAGGAATCAGATTTTTAAAATGAATAAAACTAAGTTAAGGGGTCCTCTGCTTTAAAAATAAATATCAAGGTGATGAAGAATAGATACAATAAAGGAGAAAAAGAACTACTGAAATAGATAACTGTGTTTGAAATCTTTTTTATAACTATAACTTTATACTTTATAATTACTGGAAACCTTACTACATATACATATGTATTACTTTCAAATTCACACAGCTGACTTAGTTGCTGATAAAAGTACTTCTAAGGGGGAAAAGTCCCCAATCCAGTGCAGCAGGGGAACCAGACAAGTGGATCACAGAGCACCACCGTGTGGTGAACTGGGGGGAAGAGAAAAGGCTTCCCAAAAGAGGTGAGAGTGAACTTGGACTGCTCTGGAGCCAGAAGTCCAACATGTGTGGAGCGCAGTGCAGAAGGCACAGGTGGCGAAGTGCAGGGAGAGACTGGATCACACAGGAACTGGGCTTTATGCTCAGGGCAACAGGGAGAGACTGTTAGGCAGGACACATTTACTCTGGCTTCAGATGGCAATGAGTGTGGGAGAGGATAGAGACTGGAGCTGACAATCCAGATGGCAAGGCTTGGGAAGTGGCACTGGTGATGAGAAGGGGACAGGTAGAGGACCTGCTGACTGAGGGATGGGAGAGAGGAAGCAGGATGGGCAGAGGTGGGGGTGTGGTTGTTATTGACCCCCTCCCCCTCCCACTTTCCTTCTGCCATGAACATAAGCCCCTTATTACTGCCCCATGGCTTCCAGCTGGACAGTCCCTCTGAGGAATCCCTGCTGGGAGTTTATCTCCAACCCTGCTTTCCCCGCCCTGTCCCATTCCCTTAGTCCTGAAGAATGGCCCACCCTTTGTGCCTTGTAGACCCAGCTAGGCTGACTCCCCATCATGCAAGGTTGGCTCAATCTCCCCACACTCTGTCACTTCCTTCTCCTGTGGGCCTTCACCACCTTCCACAGAGCCCTCGGGGACCCAGGTAAGATCTCAGTTCCTGCCCAGAATCTGTGGGCGAGAAGCTCCAGGTGTGGGAAAAGTGGGAAAGGCAGCTGTTGGAGGTACCCAGGGAGTGAGAGTTATTGCTGAGTGGGCCATAGAGGAGAGAATGGGGCCGCCTGGGGAACAGGGTCTGGATGGGCACTTGGCACAGTGGGGGTCAGGGGGTTCCTGCCACTGTGGCCCCCTCTGCTCAGCATCCTACCGGGGCCCCCACTACCTCCTGCCCCCCATCCACGAGGTCATTCACTCTCGTCGTGGCGCCACGACCACGCTGCCCTGCATCCTGGGCACCCTGCCTCCCAGCTACAAGGTGCGCTGGAGCAAAGTGGAGCCAGGGGAGCTCCGGGAAACTTCCATCCTCATCACCAACGGACTGCATGCCCGGAGCTACGGGGCTCTGGAGGGCCGAGCCAGGATGCGGAGGGGGCATCGGCTGGACGCCTCCCTGGTCATTGCGGGCGTGCGCCTGGAGGACGAGGGCCGGTACCGCTGTGAGCTCATCAACGGCATCGAGGACGAGAGCGTGGCGCTGACCCTGCGCCTGGAGGGTGAGGCCGGGCGGTTCCAGCCCCCTCCTCGCCAGCGGGGGAGACGGGCGGGGGCGGATCCGGGTATCCCAGGGCTCCTCCCTCAGCATCTGCCCCGTCCTCTCGGCTCGGCTGTCCCGCCTGTTCTTCCCCTCCCCCGTCTGCCGGCCCTCCCCAGGCTGTCTGCCACCCCACAGGTGTGGTGTTTCCGTACCAGCCCAGCCGGGGCAGGTACCAGTTCAATTACTACGAGGCGAAGCAGGCGTGCGAGGAGCAGGGCGGACGCCTGGCCACCTACGCGCAGCTGTACCAGGGTGAGCGGCCCGGGCACCGCCTAGGTCCCCTCCGGGCTGTTACAGGGGCCTCAGCGGAGGCGACCTCCGGGTCTGGCTCCTGCCTGTGACGCCTCTAATCCCTCGTCTGCCGCCAGCATGGACCGAGGGGCTGGACTGGTGCAACGCGG